GCGCCCATCGCGTGCACCACTGCAAGGAGAAAGGGAAGGAGGGTGAGGGGGACTCGAGGCTGGGCACGAGGCGACCTGGAAAAGCTCCTCCTGGCATCACCCGCTCAGACCCAGCTCTGGTGCAGCCAGGGGACAGCCCCTTCCCTCCCCGAGGGCCCTGCCACCCAGGCTGGGACACCTCACTGCTTCCCAACCCCTTCCTCCACCAGAGCTGCTGCCAGACCCTCTCGTCACCTGGCTCCTGCCCAACAGCAGAAAGTGAGGCTGACATAAGAGCCCAACATGAGTAGCAGTGCCCAAAGCCTCAGGTTCAGTGAGCCCTGTGGGAGCTGTGAGTGTCTGCCAGGCCACAGACTGCCAGGCTGCCCAGCTCAGCTCCAAGCAGGTGACCACTGCCGTCTCTGAGACCCCAGTGATGCTCGGCAGGGGCTGCCCCACCACGTCCTGCTGCATCTCACTGGGCCCATGGCACCCTGTGACCTGTGCCCAGAGGAGACTCTCCCACCCCAGCACGCTGTGCCAGCTGCTCTCTGCTCTGCTGGAGGCAGAGACACGCATCATGGCCAGAGCAGTCGTCAGTTTGAAGTGTTTTCCACTTGACTTAGGGCATCATGTGATGGTCAGTGCAACCACCTCAGGGGCGGTTGATGAGTGAGGGACAGTGACCAGCCTGGCAGAGCTGGCACAGCCACAGCTGAGGCCACAGGGAGGGAGCTGAGCAGAGCTGCTGTGCCACAGTTTCCTTGGAGAGGCAGTCGGTCCACTCAGCCATCACAGTCCCCAGTAACATCATAGCCCCAGCTCCACGGCTAGTCCTTGTACCACAGTGAACCCTCGGGTGTCACTAGGCCCTTTGGAGCAAGTTCCCAGACGTTCTCAGAAGCAGGAGCTGCAGGCAGGGACCAGCCCCTACTGCTGCACCTCTTTCTCGCCCAGCAGCCACGCTCTCTGCTGACAGCCTGTGGCACAGTGCCACATTCCCCGCCTGCACGATGGGTTCCTGAGTCTTGGGCTCAGCAGATCCTCTTCTCTGCTCTCCAGTGACGCAGCGTCACAATGTGCAAACCAGGGCTGGCCCATCTGGCCCATCCACACCACACTGCTGGGACAATTCTGCGATCTGCTGGACGGGGCTGGTGAGGGGCTGCCCCCATAGATCTGGTGAGGCTGCCAGGACAGCCCACACACTTCCTTGCCCTGGCAGGTGCCTGCTGGATGCTCGAGCAGCTGTTCCCTCGTTCCTTGCCCTTGGCTCTGGCTGCTGGCCAGTGGCACAGGCCAGTCCGTACCTTTCAGCTCATCCTCGTACACTTTGACCCCCTGCAGACAGTGGTTCTGGGGGAGCATGGTGGTGCTGGACAGGACCTTGGTCTCCCCAGTCACTCTGTCCTTCTCCACCGTGATCTCCACTGAGTACATGGCTGGGACACAAAGAGGACAGCGCATGTTACGGCGGCCCCGGCCCTCCCCAGCCCTGTTCTGTGGCTGGTTGCAGGACAGCATGGCGCTCAGCGGTGCGAGGCGGAGGGAGCGAGGCACTGGGCTCAGCGGTGCTCAGCAGTGTGAGGCAGAGGGAGCGAGGCAGTGGCTCAGCGCTGTGGTGCTCAGCGATGCTCAGCGGTGCTCAGCAGTGTTAGCGAGGCAGCAGCAGGAGCGGTGAATGCAGAGGTGTGACATCCCTCGCACATCCCTCCTCCCAGGACCTGCAGGGCAGTCGCTGTCCTGGTGCCGTTGGCATCACCTTACCTCCCTCACTGCTGCATCCCCCAGGCTTGGCCCAGACAGGCCCTGGGGGCACTGGCCACGTCCGTCTGTCCAGCTGGTGCGCAGTGCTGGCCATGAGGCCCAGGCTGGAAGCCAGGCTCATGCTCACAGAGGTGCATCCCCCACTGAGAGTGTTGGCATTGCAGCATTCCCTCCACCCCCGTGGGACAGACGATCCTCAGCATCTCTCCTTCAGCTCCTGGCCAGTCCCTGCCAGCAGTGGGGTCACCTCGGCCCTGTGCATGGTGCTATGCTCCAAGGATCCCAACCTGGGCTCTGCCCTGTGCCGGTGCCGCTGTCCGGTGTGAGTTGTTGCCCCAGAGCAGAGCAAACCCTCCAGCAGCAGAGCTGCTGCAGCACTC